TATTGCCTTCATATTCACGAAATATTTGGGCAGCTGCTTGTGCGAGAGCTCCAGTTCTAAATGGTTTTCCATTGTATGGAATTTGGTGTTTGGCAGCGGAGGGAGTGGCTGTGAAGGCGTCACCTTCTCCAGAGGGATGAAGAAAGCGCTCAAAGTAGTATCGGGCCTCCAAGTTGCAGACATTATGTTTGTCCTCTTCTAACAACAGGTCTAAGAGTTGTTCGGCTGATTTTATATCAACTGACTGTCTTCGTTCACTGCCAAACATCCCAACGCCATCCAAGAACTCACCCGCCTCTATTGACTCATAAATGCCCAATATATCTTCATGGCTAGAATTACTACTATGTTCTTCGTGAAGAGGAAAGCTGCGTGGAACTCTGAGGTTATTTGTTTCGGTTACTCCGTCTACTGACTGTCTTCGTTCACTCCCAACCGTCCTCAAGCGATTCAAGGCGCCGTCCAATGACGAAGACATGCTGAAATTGTCTTCAAGGTCAGAGTTACAATCAGGCAATTCAACATCATTTTCCAAAGAGACAGAACCCTTCAATTCCTCTAGGCGAAGCCTCACCATGCGGCAAATGCTAAGCAGCAGCTGCACGTGCTGCAAGAAATCAATCTGCACCTTGGCAGAAGAATCAAATGGGAATTCACATTTCTGCATCCGCTCCACGTGGTCATTAATAGTCGCCAACGGATCTTCAGTGAGCGTTTCACCGTCATCATGCGGCGGCGTGAAGTACCTTCGAAAACCTTGGCGCACTTGCGGACTTGAGGATTCCCAGGCCTCGTTCATCCTGCCCTGTACTTCGTCGAGATCATCCATAGACCTCCCTATGGTGTCAGCATCGAGAGGGAGTGGAGCTCCTTCACTGTAGGGGCTTATACTGGGGGAGCTCAGTATGGGGTACTTCCGGCTTCTAGACACCCGGAAAAGAACTGCAGACAGGAGTAGCAGTGAAAAGACGACAAGCAATGGCTTAGTGACCCCAACCTGCTTCCCAATAAACTTCCGCAAAACGAAAACCCCTTCTTCTGGAGCAGTTTGGTTGGTGTTTTCTATGTTTTGTTTACCGGAGGGATGGATTGCGTCACGTGCCCCTTGCTCAGGGCTCAACCAATCTAACCAGGTACGAACTGCTCCCTTCCCCTGGACCGCCATTGTCTACTGCGAAAATAAACGCATGGCGGATAATCATATATTCGCTTTGTGTTTGGAAGCTGAGCAAAATTCTTGAGAAAAAGACTAGGAGGATATCCAGAGAAACAGAGCGATACGGATCTGGCTGTGGTCGGGGAGGTGACGATGATGTTCAAGAAAATTCCCGCTTTGAAATTAATTTAAATAACGGATATTAAATTATTT